CATTTTAAAAAGAAAATTGTTCTAAAATATATGTATTCTGTATTTGACAAACAGTTCATTCGACAAATGAAAACTCACAGGAATATGTTTCAGCTATTAGAACAGAATGATAGAGTTTTTATAATACTAGTTTAAAAACTCACTTCAAACAAAGATTGCAGTGTTTGAAGATGTAGGTTCTCAGGAGGCAACAGTACTGTTGACTTCTCCCTCCACTGGACACCAACTAACTATTTAAAGCAGAGCTTGCAACATGATAGCTATTCATAAAGGGTGTTTTTTTTTTTTTTACTTTTCATATAATACAGTAGTCACACAATGAGGCAGTTTATATTTGTCTCAGTGAATCATTAATTTTTGACAGACACCTGTACAAAATACTTGGACAAAAGCCAGCTAAGATTTTCTGTTATCTTGCATGTTTTATGAATCTATTCACGTCTAAATGCAGCACTTTTTTTTGCAATGAGGCATTGGTTTTTATACTAAAATATCTGAATTACTTTGAATAAAGCTGGAAATTATGTCCCTTAAAATAATTAAACAAATAAGGCACCAATGTTTTTGTAAGATATTTACATCTTTAAAGGACATTCGGTAGACTGATTCCCCACTGTTAGTTCAACCCCAAAACTTTTTTGTATTCAAAATTAATTATGACAATGATATTTATATTGAAAAAAACTATGTTAAAGGGAATTATATTATATAACAAAGGGCAAGGTCACCAGAGTTCAACTATGTTTTGAGTTGTTGTTTATTTGTTGACCATAACATGATACAACCGCTCTCAAAACTAAGGTTACCATCTTCGCTTGGTCAATTTCAATTATGTAATCGGCAATTTTTTAAGTTCATTGAAATGCACAGGGTTTTTAATAAATAAACAAATGAAACAAAATTATTGCCCTTTTTATGATAGGCAGCAAGGTAGTCATACATCTAATTATTCATAATGTGTTTCATTGACTTATTCTAAACATTTCAACATGTGTTATGTTAAATGTCCCAATTTACTGTCATCTACATAAATACTTTATTTATTCATCAATAGGACATACCAAATATCTTGTTATTATTATGTAAATATGGAAAACATCATGTTCCCATTGAAACACAGCCCAAATTATTTTTTGTCATTAAAATATTACAGAAATTGTAAACACTATTGAAATACGCACAGATATAGTACCTCATTTTAAAACTATAATGTGAATGACACAAAATGAAAAAAAAAGATATCATTGATGTTAACTTGCATTGACATTGACAGAACAAAAATATTAACTGATTGAAAATAAGACGAATTGTCCCATAACATACATTTCCAAAGAAGCGATAATCAATCACAGTTACAAATTGAGCAGCATTGAATGAATTAAATGAATTGTGCTGCTTATTCAAAACTAGCATAACACACTTAAAACCTAATCGATATTATTGATATTATGAACCACTTTTTTGTGAAAAACTTTGTACAATAGATAAAAAAACAAATAACAATTGTAATTGGTATGCATATTAGCTAATTAAACTACAGACTATTATGAACTATAATTATTTATCTACACAAACAAAACATAACGGAAATGATTGATTAGTATGCAAATTAGCTAATAAATATGCATACATATACACATTCTTTTGAGTGAACATGCTAAAATGCGTGGATTTATTTTCTAAAAATCATAAAACTACACCAGTACTTGTACCAGGTTTGAATGCATTTGAAAAAAAATGTAAAATATATTAACTATGCTGAAAGTAATTTTAATTTTCTATTGCTAATTAATGTAGACAGATTAATTATATTCAACTAAACACAATATGTAGGTTGTATCACTCATTTGCATATGCATTTAGTAAAATGTGACTCTAGTTTATGTATTTTTTTCGCTCTGTTAGTTGTGCTCACGTAAGCATACAATAAATGCAATTTTTGGTTATGTGCGCTTTTAATAAAACACAAAAACACGGATTCTGCAGTTTAATTTTTGTGTTAACATTAATACTATAAAGTGCTATTCGTGTTTTCATTGAGAGCCATGGCCAAGTTTGTCATGTTCTAACAGTACCCAGCAAATATGATAAAACAACTGCTGAACTATTGAAGTACTAATTTAGCACTAATTTATTCAGTAAAATTACACTGTCGTATGTCGTCATTTCTTTGTTGCGTCTAAGCAATACAATATTTGGTACTGGTGTAGCAGGAGTAATTCAATCGTCTATATGCACTTTTATGTTTTTATTACAGCGTGGTCGTCCCGGTCAAGCCAATGAAGAACTATCGCATCAATTGATGGATCGTTTTGTTGAAAAGGGTGGAAATTATATCGATACAGCTAACAATTACCAGTTGGGACTTTCCGAAAAAATTGTAGGATCCTGGCTAAAGAAGTTTGTATAGATATTGAAATGATTATTAGAAAATATTCCATTCTTCCATATATTACATATAATTTGAAAAAATTGGAATTCGGAAGTTAGTCGTAGTCGACTGGGCCATCAAACTACGATAGGGCAACAGTAATTTTGTGATTTTTGCTTGATCGCTAAGTTAAAACATGCAAGTATTTACTGTTTCAACAGTTCAACGCCTCTTAATATTAACTTTTATCTTATTTCATCATTATTCGTAGAAGACAGAACAGAGAGAGTTTAGTTATCGCAACTAAAGCAAGAATGGCGATGAACTTTGATGACCCTAATGGCATAGGTCTAAGTAGGAAACATATACTATGGACTGTGGAAGAAAGTTTAAAGAGGTTACAGACTGATTATATAGATTTATATCAGGTAGGTGTTGTTGTAATGATTTGAATTGCCACGAGGTTGTTATGATCGGTCTGGGGAGCGTGCATTTGTGTCAACCAGCATGCGAATGTCTGATTACAAATACTCGTGACCTTTTGTGACAACGTTGTACATAAGGTGTTTTATATGGGATGGGATCAGTGCCACATATCTCCATGCTCATCATGTGAGCATTTTATTCAATCTTTTTACCTTTTATCATTATGTTATATCATTTTATCATTGTTTTCTGCTCTATTCTAGAATTGCACCATCGTACCACGAGGCCCTAGCATTATTTGACCTTTACATAATTTTTATTAATTATTTATCAAAATATTTTCATTTTACTCTCATGTTCATTCATTTGTGACACAAACATTTTATTCTTTTACTGAATTGATCATACAAGTTTTCTCCCGCAATGACACATTTTTCTTCGATGTAGATCGTGGATGGAGGACAATCAACGCAATTTTATTCTAAATGTGCGCAGTAATTCTTCAATTAGAATATAGTAAATATCTTATTTTTCCATCGATAGACCACCACAGAACAAAATGAGCTTTATGCTATGAACAATGTCTCTCACTCATTTACATACTATCAAACTCAGTCTCGATTTTAATATAGCAAAGATGTATTTTTCTCCATTTTGGTACTGTTCAGATGCATATTTGGGATGCTGCTACACCTATTGAAGAATCGCTGCGTACGATGGATGATTTGGTGAGAAGTGGCAAAGTACGATATGTCGGCGTCAGCAACTTTACCGGATGGCAGTTACAGAAAACAGCTGATGTTTGCAAATACATGGGTCTTCAGAAAGTCGTTAGTTTACAGGTGAGACCAGAGCGAAAATAAATGACATGATTGTTTTTGTCAACTCCACACCTTGCACTGTCGATTTGAAGTTAGAAATGCTTTTACTTTTATATATCCTGTTTATTCACTTCTTTAAGGCTCAGTACAGTTTACTGGTGCGTGGATTGGAATATGAATTGGTAGATGTCTGTAAGAATGAAGGTATTGGCATCCTACCATGGAGTCCACTCAAGGGGTAAGAATAGACTTTTTGTCTAAGAACTGTAAACATTACAGTAATTTTATTGTAACATGCTATACTCGAGTTTTATTAATCATTGGAATGTGACATCAAATCTCCATCAACATAAATACAACACTTTATAATACATTTCTATGTATATTAATTAGCTAATCAGCATATTTCATGACTTGATAATATTCTCTGTACATAATACTTAACTAATTAAGGATGAAGCTTTTGTGGCAGTTTCACAGCATTCTATGGAAAACCAAATATTAAAATACTATAAAATTGATTTGTGATAACGTGTTGAAGTGTGTAATATAGTCAAGTTCTGTAAAATATTTATTCTCTGCAGCTCCAAATAATTCATCAAATTACGTTTTTTTCTTACACATTATTTTAGTGGTTGGTTGACAGGGAAGGCACGTCATGGCGTTCCACCCCCACGAGGCAGTAGGATGTCATTTGTTGAAGCTGATCGTAGACGGGAGTATGAAAGCCACCCAAGTTACTCTTGTTTTGCCGATGATCCACAGGTCAATGACATCTTAGATAAAGTTGATAGAATAGCTAAAGAACAGGGTAAGATACGCCAGTAATGCAATATATTAATACGTAATAGTGCAACATGAGTAATAGTGTAATGTAAGTAATAGTATAATATAAGTAATTATATAATATGAGCAATAATGCACCGAGTAATAG